AGGGGAGGGGGGCGGGACCTGCAGTTGTACGCGATGGCAAAGGGGATGCTCTCCCGGTACAAGTCGACAAACTTGTTTAGGCATATCGGGCCTGACGCACGCGCGCGCGCGCGCGTGTGTGGTGATGGTGGTGGTGGCGGGTGGTGGTGGTGGTGGTGGTGGCGGGTGGTGGTGGTGGTGGGGGGATGGCAAGTGCCGAGGCTCCTCTCGGAAGCTGGGTGTGTGGGCCCGCACAGTGCCGATCGAGATGCTCGGTGTCGTCGGCGACCGCCTGCGCGAGCGGCAGAAATGCGACCTGCACAAAATGCCCGAGGCTGTAGAAGCCCGCGTCGTCCCTGCGGGCAGGGAGCAGCTCTGAGCTCGATCCGATCGGGCCCGTGCGGCGCACATTGGGGAGGGGGGGGGGGGGGGGGGGGGAATTTCCACCCTTACAAAATTGGAGTAAAAGCTGTTCTTGCACAAAATGGCCGCGTAACCCAAAAAAGGGGGGAAGCCCCCTGCGCGCTCCTGGCTGCCAAAGAGCCACGTGATGATCTCCTCCGCGACATGCCTCTCCGCGGCGGGCCAGCACGACACGGCCTCCAGGACCAAGCCAACAAGGGGCCGGCCTAGGGCTTCTCCCCTAGCAAGAGGCGGCTCGTGGGCGTTCTCCCCTCTTGGCGCGCCCCTCCCTCTGAGCGGCGGGCCGGGCGGCGGTCCGGGTGACGGGCCGGGCGGCACGACGACGCCCCCCCCAGAGGCTTTCCGAACGAGGCCGGCCGGCAAGGGCTCGCGTTTGAGCCGAGCGGTGAGCTCCGCCCGATTGTTGGTGAGCGCCTCGCCGGCCCACGCGTGGGGAGAGCGGCACCCCACGATCTGTATCATCTCGTCGGCCTCGGCAATCTCGAGCGTCTCCACTCCTCCCCTGGCGCACGCGTCCGCGTAGCGCGCCTCCAGCTTGGTCGGCCCGAGAGACGACACGCGAGCAGCCTGCTGCGGCGAGGGCCCCTCGGCCTGGCTCGCGTCGGCGTGCAGCTCGCCGCAGAGCGTCTCGAGTCGCGCCCGGTCGCGCCGCGAGAGCTCGCACGCGCCGCCGTTCCGCGCCGCGGCCAGCTCCTCTGACGTGAGGGCGTCGTCGGAAATCCAGTCAGCAGCCACCTCAAACCTCCACGGCCCCGTGGGCACGGCGGCGGCGTCGATGCCGTGCGTGGCGGCGGTCGGCGGGTGCAGCAGGTCGAGCACGACGACGCCCGGCCTGGAGGTGACGATCTGGAGCAAACGGGCTGCACTGTACCGCGGCCGCTTGTCTGAGCGGCACTGCGCTCGGTGCCGGACGAGCGCGTGCGACAGCAGCCGGGCGGCCTCGGCGTCGGAGAGGCCCAGGCGTTCAGCGCCGCGCGTCAGCGCCGCCGCGTCGCGCTGGAGGAACCGCACGACGCCTCCACGGAGCTGATGCTTACAACGCATCTCCTTCGACAGAGTCAGACCTGCCGGGTGCTTCCTGGAAGAATATTTCGCCTTCTCAGTGCGGGTTAGCGCGGGTTCCACACGGGTTAAGCCACACTAACCCAGCACGGGTCAGCACGGGTTAGAACGGGTTACCATAACCCGACGCTAACCCGGCACTAACCCGGGTTAGCGCCGGGTTAGTCTCGGGTTACCATAACCCATGCTGACGTATGCCCCCCAGCCGCACGGGTTAGCGCTGGGTTAGTGCCGGGTTAGTGCCGAGTTAGTGCCGGGTTAGCGTCGGGTTATGGTAACCCATTCTGACCCGTGCTGACCCGTGCTGGGTTAGTGAGCACTAACCCGCGCTAACCCGCGCTTACCGATAGACAATAGACTCACAATTTAGCTGTGTGGTGGCGGCGTGCCATCCTCCCCCATCCCTCCCTTGCGTGGTCTCTTTTCTTTCTTTCTGTCTGCAGAGTGCTCCAAGTGCTCCAAGTGCTCCTGTGCAGCGAAACTCCCTCTCACGAGTGTCGAGTCACGGTGACACTAGGCACGGGGGGCGACCACTGGAGCGCACTGGCACTAGCACACAGGTACACAACGGCGCACGGGGCCGCCTGAGGCTAAGCGACTCCTGCGAGAAATATCGGGGGAAAGAATTCATCTCAACACTTTTACAGATGAGACTCCAGCCGAGGCAAGAGGGCGGGGAGAAGAAGGGACAGAGAGGAACCACTGAACGACACCCGCGCCTTGCCGCTTGCGTCTCCGGCGCGCGGCGGGACGTGGCGGGGGATGCTTCAGCCGGATTCGGCTGGCTTCTTTGCCCACATGCTCTGCAGGGTGGGGGTGGACCGCTTGGGTGCTGGCTGCCCGCTGCTCGGGGGTGTGAGACTCTCGGGGGGGCTCTCGCGCTTCAGTGGCGAGCGCCTCGAGACGGGGGGGGCGGCTGGGGGCTCGCAGCCCCCGCGCAGCAGCGCGAGCGCAGCGTTTTCCGGCGCGACGTCGAGCCCGAGCCCGCGAAGGGCCGCGTTGACGGCGCTGCTGGCCACGGGCGCGGGGTGCCCCATGGCGTGGTTCGGCAGCCCGCTCGACGACGCCGCCGGTGCCTCGACGAGTGCGCGGCCGCGGAGCTCAGCAGCCGCGTAGTACTCGCGGCAGCCTCGGAACAGGCCAGGCGCGTCGCAGCCCGCGCGGCGGCAGCAGCGCAGCCGTCGAAAAGCCGACTCCCATGAGAGGCGCGAAGTCTCGGCCTGGCGCAGCAGCATGGGCCAGAGCCCCTCCTCTGTGCGCCCGCGGAGAAACGCCTCCACAGCGTCAAAGTACGCCGCGCCGGCATGCAGGTCGTGGATGGAGTTGGCGAGGCGGAACGCGAGGTGCGCGTTCGCCCGGTCGCAGCTGGCAAAGACGTTGTGCATCCCCGCCACCGAGTACTCGCCGCAGCCGAACAGGGCTGCGGTCAGCACGACGGCGGTCGGCAGGCTCAGCCTGCCGAGCAAATCGGGCGTGTTGAGCACCGCGCACACCGGCTGGGTGCCGCCGCAGGCCCCGATCAGCGCTGGTTGGAGCACCGACCGCCACTGCCCCGCCCCAAACAGGCTGGCCGCGCGGGCGAAGAGGTTCACGACGTTGAGGCGCGGCACAGGGGGCTGCCCGTTCAAGAGCGCGGCAATGTTGTGGGCCTCGACGTCGGAGTCGTTGGCGACCACCGCGACGACGCCACGCGCGCAGCAAGCCACACGCTCCGCGTCCTGCTCCGCCATCTCGACCACCTCGAAGCCGAGCGTGCGGAGGTGGAGAGCATGGCCGGTGATGGCCTCGCCATTGGCTCCGGCGCCAGCCGCGCCGTGACGCGCCGAGAGGGCGGGCTTTCCGCCCCCCTCGAGGACGAAGACGGGCCGCAGCCCCGCCTGCCGTGCCACAAGCCCAAGCACGAGCAGCGCAAAGCCGCCGCGCTCGCCGTGTGCGATGGCAACGTCGGCCACGCACACGGCGAGCACGTCGGCGGCGTCGCGGCGCAGCGACTGCAAGTAGCGCCGAAGCGCGCCAGCGCCGTGCATGCCCGACGCACGCACCCACCCTTGCCACGTGCCGGTGTGCGTGAGGGACGAGAGGCCCATGGCGCGAACGTGTTTATTTTCGGTGTAGGAATCCTATGTAGCTCTTACGTACATTCCCGTAGGAGACTCTGCTGACAGGGTTTGCGATGAGGAGCGACCCGAAGGGTTTCTCGGAGGTTAGTGCACCACTAACCGCCGAAGCGCAAGCGCTGGGAGCAAGAACACTATGACCTGGGTCGGGCTCATACTAGCACCCCACATTTAGAGGTGTTTATTTTACGGAGCTCTGATTTTACGAACGTGTTTATTTTACGCTCTCCGCCGCCGCCCGCTCGCCCGCCCGCGGTGCCGCCTCCGCCTGCGCCGCCGCTTCCGCCGGCGCCGCCGGTCAGCGCGTGCTCTGTGCAGCACCCGTTCAAATACACGCCGGTGAGCGACAACAGCGTGCTGGGCAAGTTTGACCTGCTCATCAAGCGGTACGACGGTGGCGCCGTCTCGCAGTACCTGCACGCGCTGCCGATCGGTGCCGAGGTGAGCTTCAAGCACATCAAATTCAACATCAAGGCCCAGTACCCGTTCGCAGGCAAGACGACGTTCACGCTCATCGCCGCGGGCACGGGCATCGCGCCCATGTACCAGGCGCTGTGGAAGCTGATGGGCACCGAGGGCGACAACCGGAAGGTGACGCTCATCTATGGAAACAAGAGCCCCGAGGACATCCTGCTCAAGGAGGAGCTCGACGGCTGGGCAAGCAGGTCTGCGGGCCGGCTCAAGATCGTGCACGTCGTCGGCAACCAGCCCGACGACCCGGCGCCTCCCGGCTGGGCCGACACGCCAACGTACACGGCCGAGACGGGGTGGGTCGACGAGGCCAAGCTCAAAAAGCACGCCTTCCCGCCTGCGGAGGACACGCTCGTCTTCGTGTGCGGGCTGCCGGGCATGTACGCCGCGCTGTGCGGGCCGCGCAACGAGAAGGAGCTGAAGGACGGCTCCACGCTGCAAAAGCTGGGCTACACCGCTGACATGGTCGCTAAGATGTGAGTTCGCTGCGCGCGGCCGCCGTATCCCGAACATCGAACATCTACTAGGGAGGGGGGGGGGGCTCGGCCGACATGTACCAGTGTAGGCGTCTGGCCCGTTTTCTCTCAGAATGGGGTCAGAAAAAACCGCGCGGGGCGCGGGCGCGCCCGGTAGCGGTACCCCGCGACGACTTCGTTTTTTGTCGCCACCCCGTGGCGCGTGGGGCACGGGCTCCTGGAACCTGTCCTCTGAGAAGTGTGTGAAGAGGAACACAGCCTCGCAGGAGAAAAAAACAACGTTTTTAGAGGGGGGGGGCGCTCGAGAGCAGAGGCGGCGTTCGCGAGATACACGCGAATCGAGAGAGCTCTCACGCAGCACTTCCCCACACAGGGAAAATAGAGAGAGCTGTATGAGTTCTGAGAGGGAGGCTAAAAGCATCTGCATTGAGGCTTTGAGGGGCGTCGCTGCATGCACACTCTCGTGCAGTCGGCCAGTCGCAGCGCCCCCGCCCCCGCCCCCCGCCCCCCGCCCCAGCCCCCCCCGCGCCCCGGAGAGGGACACCACTCTCTGCCCCCCGGATCGATCGGTAATACCAACAATACAGTCATGCACGTACACGTGCGCCCGGATGGACATCTGCCGAGTCGTCATGGATCATGGTCTCTGTGCCTCAGCAGCGCAGCATCGCGCCCATGACTCCCGCCAGTCCTCGACTATTGCTCGTCGTACGTAACCTCGGGCGGTAACATCTCCCCTCCCCTTATCGCCCACTCTCTCCACCGCCAGGGCTGGGAATACACGAGCACCGCCGCAAAGATGAGGAGGCCAGGCAGCGAGTAGGCGAGCAGCAGGAGTTGCTGGCCGCGGTTGGAGAGGTGCGCCTCTGAGGCCTCCTTGCTGTTCCACTCACTGTATCCGCTGATACCGTGCATGCTCTCACGGCTCGGCTCCCACTCACTGTACTCGCTCTCCCCGCTGCTCTCGCGCGCAATGGGCAACGGCTCGCTCGAGCGGCAGCCCTTCAGGTCCGCGACAAAGAGGTCGGCGTCGGCGTCGCAGGCCTCCAGCGCCTCTCCGACGTCGATGATCACCTGCACCGTGATAGTGAGCCAGCCGCAGAAGACGGACGTGGCGAGCCCACTCCAGAGGCCGAGCATCCCCCATCCATGGGTGAAAGTAAACCAGGTGCCGATCGGCAGGCCGATGGCATAGTAGAGGACCAGTAGGCTCATCACAGCTACCAGCGCGCTCTGCCCGCGCACCGTGAGCCACGCCTTGAGCTGGTGCGGCGCGCCGCTGCCAGTGCATCCACCCCGTCAGCCCTCCTCTGCCAAGATGAAGCGAGAGGAGGAGCGGGCGACTCTGGCCCGGGCGCGTCGGGAGGTGTCGGTATCACAGCGCGAGCTACAACGGTGCGCGTCACTACCAGGGACACGCACATCCAAAACTTCGTCGATATGGGTGAATCCAAATCGTGTGGTGAGTGTTGAGGCTCGCGTGCAGCATGCTGTCGAGGAGATGGCGGGGTCCACGCTCGAGCGAGATCCCTACCCAGCCATCGGACCTCCCACTCGCAACGACCGCTACCGCGCGACCGGCTGCTCTTACCAGTACCGCAGGAGAGAGCCCTCTCGAGAGGTTGCGGGGCAGTGGGCACGGCTCTCTGCTCGCCACCGCACCGAGTCGGAGAGAGTTGGTGCATCAGCGCGCGAGCACGCGTGGCGAGATCACTCGCCAGCAAGGCAGAGGGCGACAATGGGCGCTGACAGGCTGACGCGGTTGGCTTCAGCGACCGCTCCGATGCTTGGGATGAGCAGGTCAATGAGCTGCACAAGCCTCAACAGCTATGACGACTTTAGGAGGCTCACAGCGGGACGGCAGATGTATTTGAGCCCGTTTGTGGACAAGCCACACCCCGCCGTCGAGGTGTCTCTCAAAGCGTACACCAGAGGCGCACCGTCCCGCTCCATCCAGTCAAGAGGTGCAACTGCATCCTTGTGACGTTTTTTGTGGGTGCCCCTGGTGGCTGCCTGAACGTTGGTAGAACCAGTAACTGACTCAAGTCACAGGTGTGGCGTTGTGCGCACCGGGCCCTCTGCCTCTGCTCTCTCTCGTCTTTCTTGCAATATCTCACATACGCACAGTGCAGTCGCGCTCTCCCAATACGTGCATCACTTTTGTGACAGGTCTCATACTTTGAGCGGCCATATCTCGGTAACTATTGATGGTCCACCGGAGAACTCATCGCCATTCGAACGGGGGCCAGGCCCCCGTTCCAAATCCGAAGAGTTTTCAGGTGGACCACTCTGGGGGGGCGCGGGGCCCCCCGGCCCACACCGTGCGCCGCGCAGCAGTGCGGAAACGGGGCTCCGGCGCTCATACTCGCTCATACTACCATCTTCCCGAATGATCACGGTTGATCAGAGGGCAGATTTGGAGAGATCTCGAGGAGTACATACAGATAAACCCTCCAATCATCAGAAAACTCCAACCTGATCGGTCGTACTGACCGCCGACAGATCACTCCAGACAGCAGACAGGCCGACGTCTGCACGCGGCCGGCCGGGCGAGAGGCTTGACACGATCCGACCCTGCGACCGTGACGCTGCTGGTCTAGCTATCAGACATGAACTGCTGACTGCTGCCACAATGTGCGACCTGTGCTGGCCCACTTGGCGGCCTTCCCGGTCAGTGGTGAGTCGCAGTTCAGAGCTGTCGATGGCGCGATAAATAAATAAATAAAAACGGACACCTCTACTGTGAGATGGGTAAAAAGGAACAGGTCCCCGCCCTTGCGATCTTTGTGCAGGGTTCTTTGTGGGTGTGGTCGGCGACTAGCCGGGGTCGTCCTCCCGATGGGGGACTAGCACTAGCCGTCTTCCACATGGTCCCTCGGGTCCCTGCTGCTCCTAATCTCTTCGTACATCCTCCTGCTGATCTCCGCAAAGTCCTGCTCCCTCCCTCGTCTCGCCCTGCGCGACTGCTCCGCCTCACCGTCGTCTGCCGCGACATGCTGCACTGGTCCCACATTGGTGACACGAGACCACCAAGTTTGCCGGTCCAAGAGAGAGGCACCGGCGCTGTCCTGAGAAGGTGCGTGGTCCCTCTTGACTGCCCATGCGCGCGAGGCTGTGTAGGCATAGCCTCGAGAGTGCCAGCAGCCAATCCGAGGCAGTTTGTGACGGGCATTGCGTCAGAAGCGTGCACGCAGCTGGAAGGACACCTTCCTACTGGCCGTACGATCAGGTCGTCACTGAATGTTGGATACTAAGGCCGCGAGCTATGCGGGTGATCAATTGTGCAGCATGACACGGTCAGCTGCGCCGACAGGCTGTCGCAAGGCGTGATAGCATGGCCGCAAGTACGAATTCCCATGAAAAAAAGTTAAAAAAAGAAAAAATCGTAAAACCGGTAGGGCCCTCGCGCCCCCCCAGAGGTGGACCATCAATAGACAATACACAATAGTTTACCGAGATATGGCCGCTCAAAGTCTGAGACCTGTCACAAAAGTGATGCACGTATTGGGAGCGCGACTGAGTGCAGCGCACAGCCACATACCACACTTTCTCAATCTTATATATTTCATCGAGTAGAAAAAAGTACCGCATGCCGGGGGGGGTGGGGGGGGCTGTTCCTATTCACCCATCTCCTAGAGGTTTCCGTTTTATTTCTTTATTTACCGCATGCTACCGCGTGCTCCCGCCGCCGCGACGTGATGGAATCGCATCCTCGCCTCGGACACCACCTTGTCCGCCTTCCCGCTGCCCGCCATAAGACAGGAGGTGGCCACAAGCCCCGACGTGCTTTCGCCGCCCCACGCAGCGCGGGCTGTGGCGCGAGCCTCGACGGATTGGCCGCGCTTGGCGGCCGCCAAATAGGTGACGGACATGGCTCCGAGCACCAATCCGCCGTGTCCGACAGCGCAATCCGCCGCCAAACCCGCCGCCCGCTCGTGCAGCAGCGCCTGACAGCCCCCGAAGAGGAGGCCCACCTCATTGAGCATGCCCCCTTCCACCCTGTGCCTCTCCATCGCTCTGCCCACCCCGCCGGCCTCGCCCTCCACCTCGCATGCCTCGGGCCGGAGAAGGTCTCCGATGGTCGGTGAGAGTGTCGGCAGCGGCCGGTCGACTGAGCCGAAGGCGCGCAGGAGCCCTCGTGTGAGGTCAAACCCGGCACCAAACGCGATCCCCCAAGCCCTCCCCATATCGAGTAGCTTGGTGTGTCTGGCCGTCGCCACCAGCTCACCAGACCCGGTCCGCACTTCGCAGGTCTGGAAGCCCAGCGTGCGGCCCATACGTCGTGAACGCGCCAGAAAGACGAGATGGTCGCCCGCGCGCGGCGGCACACGACCGGCGGCGAGGGCGGCGTTGAGGTCGATCGACACGCCCGGCCGCCGAGCTGGGTCCACGCCGACCGACGCCCAGCTCGTGACCTCGTCCACGATGGCGAGCAGAACCGAGAGGGGAAGGTACGAGTCGCCGCGGAAGCAGACGCGCTCCGGGACCCGGTACTCGAAGGTGAGCGTTCCGTCGTCGCCAAAGGCGGTGAAGCCGCCACCCTGAGTCACCTGCTGCACGTGCTTCGCCTCGAGCTCGTGCGAGAACGAGCGCGAGCCGAGGAAGCGCGCCCGCGAGGCGTCTCGGATGAGGGAGAGGAGCCGGTCGAGCCGCTTGGTCATCCCAAACCCGGCCCTGGATGTGAGGTTAATGACCGCACTCAAGAGCTCCAAGTGCTCCAAGAGCCCGGGAGGGGTCACAACCAGTGGCAAAAAGCGATGACAAGCGATCCCACGACAGCGATTGTGGGACTACTCGAGTACATACATGCATGGTACGTGAAGGCAAAAAGAAAGTCAGAGGCATCATTGCTTCTTGTAACGATGCATGCAAGGGGACCCCAGCGCCAACATCATCGGTGGAGGTACAAGTGTCCGAAGAGAGAGTGGACCTGAGCAACGATATGACTTGGCGGCAGATGATCGCAGTGGGCGTCAGAAGAGTCGTCCTTGCGCGAGGAGAGCTCGATAAACTCGAGGGGCCAGGATATGCCGCGAGGAGGGCAGAGCTGCGACGAAAGGCGAGAGAAGCCGCGAGTGGCGAGAGCAAGGGATCGGCAGGCGGCGGCGGCGTCGCAGGATGAGGCAGACGAGAGCGACGCGACAGAGGAGGAAACGACAGGAGGGAGAACGACGAGAGTGGGACGACCGCGAGGTGGCATGAGGGTTGCAGCGAGAATCGGCGAGGGACTGCGAAGGGAGATAGAAAGAGGCAGACGACCAAGGGTTAGGGTGGGCGAGGGCTAGCACCACACTCCTCTCCTTAAAATCCCTGTGTGGTGGCGGCGTGCCGTTCTCCCATCCCTCCCTTGGGATGTCTGTTTTCTTTCTTTTTAAACTCGAGGGGCCTCCAAGTGCTGCGAGGAGAGCGGAGCTGCGCCGAGAGGCGAGAGAAGCCGAGAGAGCAAGGGATCGGCAGTCGTCGTCGTCGTCGCAGAACGAGGGTCGAGGCAGAGGAGAGAGCGAGGAGAGCGATCAGGCTGTCCATCAGGCAGAGGACGACGGGGCAGGAGAGAGAACGAGAGAGAGAGAACGAGGAGAAGAGTGGGAAGAACGAGAGGTGGCATGAAGGTCGCTGCGAGAATTGGCGAGAAACTGCGAAGAGAGATAGGAAGAGCGAAGAGGCAGGCGCCCCCATTTGCAAGGGTGGCTAGAGAAGGCTTCTTAAAGAAGGGTGGGCGACGGCTAGCAACACTCCTCTCCTTAAATTCCCAGTGGTGGTGGCGGCGTGCCGTCCTCCATTCCCCTTGTCTGTTCTTTCTTTCTCGGTTTCTGTATGCCGAGAGTGCCACCTCAGCGCACCTCATTGACCCCAGACAAGGTTATGGGAGCGGCCATAACAGGTGTTATGGCTGTTATGGCTGGGTGGCTGCTCATAACACCCCATAACACCTCATAACACCTCATAACACCTCATAACACCTCCATCGCTGTTATGGCTGTTATGCCCACCCTACCATAACACCTCATAACACCTCATAACACCTCGTAACACTCATAACACATCCCACTGGTTGTTATGACAGCCAGCATAACCTCATAACAGCTGTTATGTGTCCCACGGATTTTTCTTTTGGAGCCCCGCCGCGACGGGTCAGCTCTCCATAGCTCTGATTCAAGCCCGAGCGCCTCTGCACAAAAGCGATCGACCGATTGATAGAGAACATGTCGCCGGTTGAGCGCGCCGGTCGAGAGGAGATGCTGAAACATCGCCGGGACCAGGTCCAGCTCGAATGGCAACCTCACACCGTCGAGCCCGGCCTGCTCAGCAGCCTGCTCTAACTCTGCCAGCTCACGTTCGATACGGGTCGGCCCGATCCGGAAAGGAGTGCAGGGCATCAGCAACGCGGAAAGCAGCAACATCCATCCATCGATCGCGCGATGAGCAAGAGTTTTACAACAAACTCCCTCGCACGACACTGGCACGGGACTGGCGCGCACGGAGCTTTAACTACTAAAAAGCGGGAGCAGCCAGCTTCCACTTTTTAGAAACCTCGAGACATGTACATGTGCATGTAGTGAAAAAAGGAAAGAAAAAGGACGTGAGTTAAATTGCGGGAAAGACATACAAGTTAAAAACGGAGGGAAAGCGTGCAGAAGTGCAGAGCTGCAGAGAGTACGAGCTAGAAACAAGAAGCAAATTGCGTGAAGGGGGGGGGGGGTCTTGATTGAGCAATCTGAAGCCATTGCTCAGCCTCAGGAGGCAGGTTGATGTTATTGAATTTAACTTGAGGGCAAAAGAGAACATATTTGGCGATCGATGCCGAAAACCTCGCGCGCGGCAGCGCGCGAAGCGAAAATTCCAGCGGCGAGCACTTCGGTGTGGCCTCTCGGGCCACATAACACCGTGGACCCGCTGAGCCCTGGCTGTCAGGCTGTCAGGTGCTGTCAGGTGATCTGTCGGGCTGTCGGGGCAGCTGTCAGGCACTGTCAGGTGCCTCTGTCAGACCAGCTGTCAGGTGCTGTCAGTGCTGTCGGGTGCTGTCGGGTGCGTGTCTGACAGGCGAGGGGCTCTGTAGCTGTCGGGTGCTGTCGGAGCTGTCGGGTGTTGCTGTCAGACGCTGTCGGAGCTGTCAGAGCTGTCAGGCTGCTGCTGCTGTCAGACGTTGGGCTGTTACTTTCAGGTGCTGTCAGGTGGTGCTGTCGGGCTGCCCTAGCTGGCGGGGTGCTGTCAGGCTCTGACACACACCAGCCACACTTATGACACTATCAAGAGGAGACCAGCGGGTACGCAGCTGCCCCCCTCCTACGGCGTGATCACGCCGGCAGGGGCGGCCGCCTGGGGAGCGCAGATGGCGGCGCAGGCGCAGGCCGCGGCGGCGGCACAGACGGCGGTGGCCACCCCCACCCAGTGACCCAGACGCCGTAGGCATATGACTGTAGGGCCCCAGAAGGCTAGCTGGTAGCTTCATTGTAGTAGCACAGCCGCCGGTGCTAGAGAGGGGTCCGCAGAGGTGGGGCGGGAGGGTTGAGAGAGAGACCCATGACCATCCCATGACTACATGGACATGGACATGGACATGGACATGGACCACACTCACATGTACATGTCTTTGCATGTAATAGTTTTGTTATACCCTCATGGGGCACAAGAAAGAGGCTCTACGGGGGGGTCTGACTGTGTATGGTCTGTGCTGCTGTCGGGCTGTCAGCGCTGCTGTCAGGCCACTGTGTGCTGTCGGGCTGTCAGGCAGCTGTCTCAGGCTGTCACGTTAGGGTCTGACAGCGACGGAGCGCCTCGCCTGTCAGGCTCTGCTGTCAGGCTGTCAGATACGTGCTGTCAGACTGTCAGAGAAAGTGCTGTCAGCGCTGTCAGGCTGTCGGGCACTGTCAGGCGCTGTCCGGGGTTTGCTGTCAGGCTGTCAGACCAGGGCTCAGTGGACCCGGGAGACGGCCCTCTGGCCTCTCATAGCTTAGCAGCCCATAACATGTTATGGGTGTTATGGCTGTTATGGGCCCGGCCCCACCCATAACACCCATCACATATTATGGGCTGCTATGCCCAGAGAGCCATAACACCATAACAATAACTGTGTAGAGGGCGAATATATGACCACACACCTGAGTGCCACGAGGTGTGCCACGCCCGAGGAGATCGGAGTGGCTCGAGTCGAGGAGTCGAGAACGCTCTTTCATCTGAAGTCTATCGCGCAAATAAATAGAGCAGGCATCTCCACGGGCGACGCACGAGCGCAGAGGTTCGACACAGAGGTGGTTCTCATTCGTCTGACTCCGCGCAACAGATCACTCATTCACCAGCATGACGTGCCAGCCCGACTGCGACCTGAAGGGCGCAACCAGTGTCCCTGGTGCCGCCTCGAAGGCGGCGCGCTGGAATTCTGGGTCCATCGACCCGCGGCGAAAGCGCAGCTCTCCGGGCTTGCCTCTCAGCTGCGCCAACTTGGCGTCAGGTCGCTTCCGAGCCGAGCCGCAGAGGCTGCGTTCTGAGGCGACTTTGGAAACTGCCTCCGAAGTGGCGCCCTCTGCGAGAAGAGCATCGTAAATCTCGAGGGCGTCCGCCTGCTTGCTTACGAGGATGTGCTGCACCGTCACCTCTCGCGCCGCCTCTCTCAGAGAGTCGAACAGCCCCATCCGTGGAGGAGCAGCGCGAGCCGGGTTTATGTGGTGCAGCGCCAAGTGCGTAGGAAGCATGACGCACGCCGCAGCTAGGAGGAGGCTATGCATGTATTACGACTCCGGCTGTCTCTCCTCGCGTTGCCCCTGGCCCAGCCCGGCCCTCGCCAGGGTTCCGGCTCCTACCCAGATAGGGGGTCTGTTCTCCACGACTCGCACCAAAACGCCCTACCTACCTACCTATTGCGGGCGCCAATCGCCAGGCTCCGTGCCCCACCTACCTACCTATTCCCAGGCCGCGCAGCGAAGCGAAAAAATACCCGTTAGCCCTCTGTGAATACCCGTTAGTCTCGGCTGGCGTCCCAGCCGCAGGCGACTCGCCTGGCATGGCCGTTGGCCCCGTTCCGGCTAACGCGCGGCCCGTCTCCCGCGCAAGCGAAGCGGTTTTTTTACTTTCACCCCCCCCACCCACCACACCACCACCACCACCACCTACCTACCTATTGCGGGGCCCTCTGGGGCGGTCAAAACCGGACCTACCTACCTATTGCATAGGGTCTAACCGTGGAGAACAGACCCCCTATCTGGGTAGGAGCCGGAACCCAGGTGAGAGACAGAAAAGAAGAAAAAAATTCGGACCGGTCCTCAGCTCCCGGCACTCCAAGTGCTCCAAGTTTCAAGTGCTCCAAGAGAAAAAGTTTTTTGAAAAGACCCAGAAAGATAGTAAAAACGCCCGCCGAACCCACCGCGAACCAGTCCCAGATGGGACACGGGATACACACACGCTTGCCGTCTCTGCGTCTCACTCTCAGCGCCGGCCCGCGCCCCCCTCCTGCAGCGTGCCCCCTTGCTCAACAAACTTCGCCTTAGAATCCGTCTGCTCCTGCGCCGCTGCGAATGGATGTGTCCATGCGCCTTTCTGGCTGACAACGTGCTGCTGGCGCGGCGGCCGCGAGCTCGCAAATCGGCGAGGGGGCGGCGGCGCGGAGGCGCACGGGAAGGTCCACCGGTGGTTGAAAAAGCAGCCCGAGGCGGCCTTCTCGGCAGGCTCCTCCGCCCCGCCCGCCTCCAGCCCCGCCGCGCCCGCCGCGTGCCCTCGCAGCATGTTGCCCTCCTCCCAGAACCGCCACCACGCCGGCGGCTGATACGGAGGCAGGGGTGCAAAAGGCGGCGGCGGCGAGGGGGGCGGCGCGGGCGGCGGCGGCGGCGGCGGCGGCGGCGGCGGCGGCGGCGGCGGCGGGTCGGGCTGAAAGAGGAAGTCGGCGAACTCGGTGAGGTCTGCGAGCCAGTCGGCGGGCACGGGCGTCGCCGGCGACGGTGGTGGCCGAGACGGTCGCGGCGGCGGCGGCAGCGGCGGGGATTCAGGTGGCGGCGACGGCGGTGACGGTGGCGGTGGCGGCGCCCCCGGCGGCCGCGGGGGCGGGTGCGGCGGCGCTGGTGGCGACGGCGGCCGAGGCGGCGCAGGAGGCAGCCGCGGCGATGGCGGTGAGCGCGGCGGTGGCAGCGGAAGGTCCGCGCGGCGGCCGCAGTCGCTGCAGTCAGTGCCATAGTCGCACGCAGACCACTCTGAGCCGTAACCGCCGTCGTCGCAGACCCCGTCGCCAGAGTAGAGAGGACTGCCGACGCAGCTCTCGTCGCAGACCGGCTTGCGCCAGTCCGGGTGGCAGCCTCTGCATTGCACTGGAAACTCTCTCTCCGCGATCTGGCGGCACGCAGGCTCCTCCTCCATGCCGCCTCCCTCTCGCGACATCAAGAAGGCCACGCGCTGCCCACAAGAGTACTTGCCGGCCTTGGCGTTCCACGCGCGAACCGTGCAGCTCGGCGAGTCGGCACAGAAGCCCGACGGAGAGTCTGGTGGGCCGCGCATTAGCGCGACGGCAGTGATGGTAGCGCCACGAGTCCATGGCCGCGGCAGCTCAAAGTGCGGCTCAAAGTGCAGCTCAAAGTGCGGCAGCCCACCGCTACTCGTCGCCGTCGCGTTGCCTCGCGGCTCACCGCCGCCGCGGCTCGCCGCCGCCAAGACTGGCCAGAGGAGAAAGAGCATGCACAGCACAGCACCACCAAGGCACCGGATGGTGACAGCACGCGCGGTGAGAGGCGTCTTGGGCCCCGGCGTCGTCGTAGGCAGGCCGCCTGGGAGAAGAGAGCGCGAGGCTGTGTCTCCAATGTCGGCGCCGGAGCCCATCAGAAGTTGTTGTGATTCGCACAGAGAGGCTGCGACTCCGGCAGGGATACAACCGGGCGAGGCACGACTAAGGGCTGGAGACCTCTCTGATGCGATTTTATAGTTTTTTCTTTTGAGCACTAAAGCTGGACGGGACCCCTCGATCGTCTCGCCCTCCCTCGCTGGTGTGCTCATTGGGGGGGGTCATAACAAACACGGTACCGGACGGATCGAGGATTTCGAGGTGCACGCTGCAGAAGCAGTGTCGTCCCACCCCCTCTCCATCAAGCATCATCGGCGATGGCGCATGGCGGTGTGACCGATCGAGCTACAAGAGGAGCTTGATCAGCAGGATCCGGGATAGTCTGGCGCACTACCTCACTGGGCCTGAGACCGCCGCGACAGCATCCCATCACCCCTCTGTGCATGGGCGCACGGTTCTGCAGCGCTCAGTATTACCTTTGCGGCCGGGTTCCACGCCATCACACCACAAAAAGGCGGACTGCCGCGGGCGAGGGCTGTGACACGTGCGTGGTTGCCATCGATCGAACTTCCGCGGGTTATTCTTTTTTAGAGCCTGTGTGCTGTGAGAGAGAGTTGTTTTGTTTTAAATTCTTTTTTAATATAAAATTCTTTTTTATATTAAGAATTAGGTAGCTCTTTACCCGAAGGTGAACTGCTGACAGGGTTTGCGATGAGGAGCGATCCGAACGTGGTATTCGGGTGATCAGATCACTACAAGGACCCCAGGAATTGCGACTCGCCGCTTTCCTCCCGCTGTGATCCTGTGTGAGCTCTGTGTCTTGATTTGCCAACAATATACCTAAAACTACCGCCGAAACGCAAGAGCACTGCGACGACAATAGACCTACACTGCGACGCATCGGGCTCATGCTAGCATCCATCCACCTCGCGGGCCGATGTTCTGGCCCAGCGAGGCTGCTGCGGAGCACTCGCGGGCCGATTTTCTGGCCCAGCGAGGCCGCATTGGCCGCTGCGGGACACACCGGCGGCTCGGTTCGCTCCTTTTTTCAAACAGCTCGCAGCGTTCGTTCTGCGAGGGAGTGTTGTAAAATTCCTTTTTCAGTGTATGTGGCTCTTACGAAGATACCCGATGGCGGTTCTCCCAGTTTTTTATTTCCCCCTTCCTTGTTGTTCAGCATATGTGGCTCTTACGTACATTCCCGTAGGAGGACTCTGCTGACAGGTTTGTCGTTCTGCTGCTTTTTTCCTTCCATATTTTTCCACTGCTAACACGAACCAGATTCGTCGCTGAGGAGAAGTGGGTGGACTAAACCTGATACATGTTCGAGGAGCTGCTGCCCGACGGCGGAGCTCCCCCGAGATCGCGCGAGATTGACCCGAGATTGTCTCGAGATTAGGAGCTGCTGCCCGACGAGACGGCGGAACTGCGGCGGGCGCGGTGGCCGCGTGCATGTGTGTGTGCATCGATGTGCATGTGCATGCACCACCTCACGCCAAATAGGGTCCCCATCCCCTCTCCCCTCCCGCCTGTCGACCCGCCTGGCGCAGCGCGCACGCCGCACCCCCCGTCGCTGTGGGTGGGCGTCTGTCTGCCTGTCTTGCTGGTTTGTTGTTGGCAAATCAAGACACACATCTGGGCGAGAGAGAGAGAGAGACGCCGCCGCCGCCGCCCTCTCGGCGCTGAGCGGTCCGCGCGTGTAAAGCATCATTCCCATCTTCTCGCGCTGGCGTCTCAGAGCGAAACGTAAACTCATTTTCAACCAAAAAATTTTGAGTAAAATATTCTCGCGCCGCCGCGATTGACGTCGGGCGGACGGATCACGCCCAGATCATGTCTAGCCTGCTGCTAGCTTCGACGCTCGCCCATGCTGCTAGCCTGGGCGAGTGGAAGCGCGTCAACGACAAAGATCTCATCTGCACAAGCGCAGAGTACAATGGTCATCTCGGGGACATGGACACCGCTGAAAGCTGCAAGAACGCTGTTGCCGCATTGTCCCCCCAGCTCAACAGCTACGCTGTGTGGCGAGGCGACACCCCGCGCAGCGGATGTCATGTGTGCAACCTGACAGGACGGGGGGCTCCGGACACGTGGACACTGACCGAGCGTGTCGGGGCAGTCAGCTTTCTCCTCTCGGCCGACGACCAACGCTGGAAGGCGCAGTGGGAGGAAGATGCACGGATCGTTGGAATGGCAGCGCGCGTGCACAAGCAGGTCGTGGCTGAGTCTAGAAACGTTGCAGCTATAGCGGTGCGTGCCAATCGATCCCTCCAGAGGACACTGGCCGTGGTTCGGCCCGCCAACAATAACCAGACGTCTTATGCGGGCTGGCGCCCGACTCGGCACTGGACTTGGACGTCTGGAACCATACCGCTCCGTTACGACATCTTCAGCCTCGTCAACCTGACCTGGTCGTGGCTGACTGGAAACGGAGCCCCTCCAGGAGGCGGAGAGGGGATTGTGGTTGCGCCAGCGAGGCGGCGGAGGCAGCTAGCTACCCACCATCACAAAGACGCATGCTGCGACGCATGGGTGGCCCGTGGACCGGCAGCACTGGTGCGGTGTCACGAGCTGCGTAACCGGACGATGCCTTCGATGCTGTCCCTCACGAACAGTTCGATGGCGCTCGTCTCGCTCTCTGTCGACGCCCGTGCCGTTGTCGCCACTGGACGCGATGCGCGCCCCTTTGACGACCGCCTTGCGGTTAGCGACTTTGCCCAGGCGCATGGCCTTGCGCATCTCACACCTCGAGAGTGCATGGACGAAGAGGATTTGGCAGGCCTCTCCTGGATCTCGCCCTCGTGGGCTCGGGTGTACGTGCTGTCGGCATGCAGGGCAGCGCACCCCCAAGTGGAGCGCTTCGTGTGGCTCGATGCCCTGTCCTTGCCCCCACGACTGCCTTCGGTGACACGTGCGTTACTGCAGATCGTCAGATGATGCAGCGCCCCTAGAGCCGTAGCCGCCCTCCCAGCCGCCCTCCCCGTGCGCCGGCCTCACTTCCCTCACCCCTTGCCCGGGCAGATCGCGCCATTCGATCGTACCGAGGCTCTCCGCGCTCGCCGGTGTGCCTACACAGCTCCTCCTTCTGCACCGGAGATGAGCCACGACGTGCTAGTCAGACGGCGGTGTGGACGCGGAACACGTCGATCAAGCCCACGCTCCAGACAGCACAGCAGGCGCTGGACAACGCCAGAGCCTTGCACGACATGACGCTCATGGCGGTCCACGAGCACTGCCAGGGTGGTGGCCGCTGCTCGGTGCGCGGAGCCTTCCTCCTCCACTCATCGCCCGCCTTCGCTCTCACGCGGACTGCCACTACGTGCCCGCTCCCGCAGGCGGCCCTCGCTATTCTCGACGCCGCTCTGACCGGCCTCCTGAAGCCCCTTGGAAGCAGCGAGCGGCGCCTCGTCACGCAAGAGCTCGCGAGGCTCCAAAACCGGCGGTGACTTTTGTCGGATCTCGTGTGTCCGAGCGACCACCGCCTCGCCACAGGCTATGCGGTGATCAGCGAGACGTGCCTGGGCGGGGCGGGGCCGGGGGCCGGGGGGGCACAGAGTAGCGCTAACCGCTAACCCCCTCGCACCTCACACAGCCCCTCTTCCAGCCCCCACTCTGTCCTTTTCGCCTCTCATTCGGTCCCCCAACCCCCCTCTCCACTTGCGTCTCATGTCCTTTTTTATTTTCGAATTGTTTTCGAGTCAAACCGCGCCCCCAGAAACTTTTTTGTTTTTTGCGCGAGCCGCCGCGGAAAATCTTAATAGCAAAATCGGGCCTCGCTCATCGGAGATACGGCTTTAGCCGCGCAGCCCAGCGGCTATGTAGGTTATCCGACAACGCGAGGAGAGGAACCGACTGGATAACACACAACATCAGACATTTCTGCCCTCAGCCTGCGGGCGCACACCCAATGACATCTGCAGCCACTCGTATAGCGAAAATTGGATGGACGTCATCACCGACGTCATGGCGAGCCTATCCAGCGCACCGAGAGCTGTGAGGGAAACAAGCGGATCGAGCTCTTCACCACCGAAGCCATTGCGAGCCGCGGCGCCAGCCCGGCGTATGCTCCGCGCAAGCCGAGGCTCATTAAGTACCTGGCCTGTGGGCAAATCATGGACGCGTCTAGACACGCTCGTGTGTGAGGAATGGCCGCGACGTTCGCGAGATATGCACCTGCTCGAGCACGCCGTCCGCAATGACGCACTCTGCGACGCTGGTGGCCGTGCTGGCCGTGGCAGAGCCGCACAGGCGGGTGAGCAGCAAGTCGGCGGGGTGCGAGACGATCGCTGCTGCGGCGCCTGCGACCAGCCCGGTGAGGACGATCGCGCAAGGTCGCAGGTGCTCCCGCTCGCCCACGCAAGCGCTCTTGGCGAGGCGGGCGACTTGGTCGTAGACGACCAGCTTGCTCATGGTGTAGGGTACTTGGCGCATCGCGATCGGCGCGAGCCCCTTGTAGAGCGCGCCGAGGCCCTCGTGCCGCGAGATGTGCAGCAGGGTGCGCGCCGCGCCGCGCGCTGCCGCTGCCGCGTCCGTCTGCATGCGGAGCTTGAGCACCTGCTCACACCACTACGGTGAAGGTGTGAGATGTGCGTCAGGGGCGAATTTACGGCCGGGCGGGCGGAGCGAAGCCTCCAGCGGTGCCAAGAGGACGGTCGCAGCCATCTCTGCGGCCGCGGCCGACGCGAGCATGGCTGGAAGCTGGCATCGGCGCGTCAGCTCCTCCCCTCCAGCCGCCCGCAGCCGCGCAAACGACTCCTGCTTCAGCGCCTCGTAGCCGCCGAACTTGGCACCACCCTAAGGCACGTCGAAGGGTAATCGAGGGAGGCTCGAGCAATCCCGTGCGCTCTCATACTCTCTCATCTGTTATGGCCTGGAGAAAGTACCCGACTGCCGTCGGAGGCAGGCCCTTGAGAAAAACCGAGAGGCGGAATAGCCCTCGGCCGGGCGCGTCTGCGAGGACAGCGCCAGCGGCTGTCATCAAGCCGAGGCGGCTGCCCGTCTGCATGCGAGTCTTCACCACGTCAAGCGGTAGGACCAGCACGTGAGTCGTAGAGCTGGCCACCGCGCCAGACAGAGAGACACCGGCGTAGTACCGACCGCTTCGTCGCCGCGATGGCGATACTCGCCCCCACGCCGGCACCCACGCGGCGAGGAGTAGAGAGAGGAGCAGGTTCATCAGTCCTCCTCCTCCTCAGGGCTAGAATGCTCAGGGCTAGACTGCTGTACTTGGCTGTATCGATCTGCTGCAGTCGATCTCAACTCGGACGACCAAAAAAAGCTCGCGGCGGCGGTTGCGCTGGGACTCGGAGACGATGCACCCGAAGGGGACCCCAGCGCCGGCATCATCAGTGAAGGCACAAGTGTTCGAAGAGAGAGTGGACCTGAGCAATGATGATATGACTGGGTGGCAAATGATAGCAGTGGGCGTCAGAAGACTCGTTCGTCCTTGCTCGAGGAGAGCTCGATCGATAGACTCGAGGGGCCAGGATATGCAGCGAGGAGGGCGGAGCTGCGCCGAAAGGCGCAAGAAGCAGCGAGAACAAGGGACCGGCAGGCGGCGGCGGCGTCGCAGAACGAGGCAGAGCGACGCGACAGAAGAAGAAGCGACAAACAAAGGGAAAGAACGACGAGAGTGGGACGACCGCGAGGTGGCATGAAGGTTGCAGCGAGAATCGGCGAGAGACTGCGAAGAGAGATAGGAAGAGGCGGACGCCCAAGGGTGGGCGACGGCTAGCGCACCACACCCCTCTCCTTAAAATTCCTGTGTGGTGGCGGCGTGCCGTCCTCCCATCCCTCCCTTGGGTTGTCCGTTTTCTTTCTTTCTTTCTTTTTCGGAGAGGAGGTGCTGCTGCCCGTCTGCTCCTCGCTCAAGGGAGAGCCAGAGCTGCCACTGGTGCAGCTTGAGAGCGGTCCACGACGCCCCACCTCGACGGATCCCGGGCGAGCGAGTCGCTGCATGCATGCTCACCCGGCGCGCACACCATGCATGCTGCATGCACGTACACTTAGCAGTACGTTGTCGTGCATGTCGAGGCGGCCAGCGCGGCCAGCGTGCGCGACGCGCTGAAACGCGCCGGTGTCGCTAACGTGCTCTCGCTCGAAGTTGCGCCCGACGTGGTCACCACACCGGCCTCGCCGCCGCCTCCACCCCATCCGAATCGAGCGTCGCTCGCGATGGGAGGCTGGGGAGGTTTAATGGTTGGGTAGTAGGGGTAGAGGGTTGCCCAAAACTTAGACCTGCTCGCAGCCGAGCGCTGAACTAAGCCCCCGGAAGGAGCGGGCTCTCAAACTTAGACGCTGGTGATCGGACTCACGAACTTAGACGACACGAGGTGGCCCGCGGTCTGCTAAATAAAAAGTGTAAACCCTGGATAGACTAGGTCCAGCCCTGGGTGGCGCAAGATCTGACGTTCTGTGACAATCGTCAGATCCGTGTTTTTCTCGTTGTTTTGTCGCTCGCTCCGCTCGCCACCTCACGCTCCGTAGTCCGGCCATGGCCAGTACCCCGCGTCTCAGTGAGACGCGTGGTACCATCCAACTCCGGTCGAAGGGCTCGAATGCGCTCAGCCTCAGGAGGAACAAAACCACGCAAATTCTGCACGCCTCGCTGCGCCGCTGGCTTGACTGAATCAGGCAGCAGGCTGCTGCTGCTGCTGCCACAGCAGCAGTCTGCTGCGGCCCTAATACGCAAGTTAATGACTAGCAGCACTGCCGGGGGCATACGAGCCGCCACAGCCGGTGGGTGCGTCCACTGCCACCTGCCTGCGGCTACGCACAATGTGCGCTCGCATTGGATGAGCCCTGCTGATGGACCTGCGTCGCCTAGCTGCACGAGAGCAATGCCGCAGGCGGTGGCCGTGGCATACACTGCGAGCACACTCGGTGCAGCTGCGAGGTGCAGCAAGAGCACGTCGTTCCTGCCTCTAATGCCACTCTCGCGGCTTGTAGCGCGTCACTCGCGCATGCTCTCCAGGAGCTATGGCGGGCGCGTGTGTGGGGCTGTAGCCTGTGTTTGGCCGGTTCTGACCCGTTTACTATCAGTATCATGCCCGGGCCACAAAAAATCGCACACGGGTAGCGGCTCAGGGGCCCAGTAAGTCGCGGAATCGCCAAATGTCACAACCTGCGCCACCCAGGGCTGGACCTAGTCGATATTTTGCACGACCCCATGGGTCAAAAGCTACAAGCGCCGTCGCCAGTTGCCGCGCATCGAGCCGCGCACGACCTCTCCTCTCCGCCTCTCCGTGCGCAAGTTGCGACGGCGCACGCCCGCCGCAGGCGAAGAAAATTTTGAGGCACCGTATAAGAGGCTCCCGCCGATCTTAGACCGCGTACGCACCCGAGCGTGACCGGTCACACTTAGACCCGTTAAGCCTCGAGGCTCAGAACTCTTAGCCTCTACTACCCAACCAGTGGCTAGCCTCCACTCTGAACTCGCTATAGTG